TTCCTCTTAAACTAAATGTTATTTTACTGATAAGAACTTTTTCCCCTTTCTGTAGGTCTGCTTGCCTGCTTGCCTGCCTGTCTGTATGTCTCTGTCTTTGTCTCTATTTCTCTATTTGGTCAGTACCAGGGTTTGAACTTGAAGGCCTCAGAACTGCTTGGCAGCTTTACTCACAGCTGGTTCTCTATCACATCAAAGAGGTTGATGGTCGCCATTTTCTGCCACCGACTAAAGCGCAGAAAATCCAGTTGACAGTAAAAGAAAAACAAACAAACAAACATATGAAAGAGAAAAAGGTAATGTTCAAGATTTTATTATACTTTAGGAATAGCTGGAACCCATAAAAATCTTGCTCTTAGAAACTGGGGCGGAGGGAGGGGGGGGGTGGGGGGGGAGGGGGCGGGGCGCCTGGGAAGGTGGCTCAGTGTAGAGTGCTTGCCTTGCATGCATGAGGCCCTGGGTTCCACTCCTCAGCACTATATAAGCAGAAAAAGCTGGAAGTGGCTCTGTGGCTCAAGTGGTAGAGTGTTAGCCTTGAGCTGAAGAGCTGAGGGTCAGCGCCCAGGCCCAGAGTTCAAGCCCCATGACCAAAAAAAAAAAAAAGAAACTGGGGATGGAGGGGGGGAGGGGGAACTGGGAAGGCGGCTCATGCTTGCCTTGCATGCATGAGGTCCTGGGTTCGATTCCTCAGCACCACATAAGCAGAAAAAGCCAGAAGTGGCTCAAGTGGTAGCCTTGAGCTGAAGAGCTGAGGGGCAGTGCCCAGGCCCAGAGTTCAGGCCCACAACCGACGGGGGGGAAAAAAAGAAATTAGGAGACCTTTATGTCCTTATAATAAACTCTTCTTTTCACCTTAAAAGTATGAAAGGAGAAAGGCCAGAAGCACTGGCTCTTTGGAAAGGCTCCAGAGATATAGCACCAGCTATGAGTGAAAAAGCTACTTGAAGCTCTGAGTTCAAGTCCTGGTGCTGGAGCACATGCACATGCTCACACACACACAAACACAAAAGCAACACACACACACACACACACAAAGACATAGAAACATAGCAGAAGTAGCAGATGATAAAAAATGCTTTGAATGTCTTTATATCAAATACTTTAAAGTTGCATACAGAATACATGAATTCCTAAAAAAAAAAAAGAAGTAACTCTAAAAACTACCCTAAATGATTTAGAAAACTGAATACATAGCTTCACCCACCAAAATAGTAAGCCTACCCTGTAAATATTAAGCCCAGGCAAATAAACAGAAGTTCAACAAAACTTTTAAGAAACATAAGATCATTACAGTCGGGGCTGGGAAGGTGGCTCAGTGGTAGAGTGTTTGCCTTGCATGCATGAGGCCCTGGGTTCGATTCCTCAGCACCACATAAGCAAAAAGAAAAAAGCCGGAAGTGGCGCTGTGACTCCAGTGGTAGAGCGCTAGCCTTGAGCTGAAGAGCTGAGGGACAGCGCCCAGGCCCAGAGTTCAGGCCCCATGACCGGACCCAAAAAAAAAAAAAAAAGATCATTACAGTCTTCTAGTCTTCTTTTCTAAGAACTTTATTAGTTTTTTTGAGGCTGGCATAATCTGGTCTGGACACCAAAGCCAAATTATGATATTTAATAAATAAAAATTACACGTCAACTTCACCTATGAACATAGATGTACAAATTTTCAGTAATAATAAACTAAGGTGAATATGAAAAACCATCATGCCAAATTTTTATTACACTGATACAAACATAATTCAGCATTAGAAAACCTATAAACATAGCTAGAAATATGAACTAAGGTGTAGCCTGCCTGCCACACATAAGGTCCTGTGTTCAAATCACAGTTCTGAAAAAAAAATGTGTCATTCTCAACATAAACAGAAGAAAGTAGGAAAACCACAAATACGATCGCCTCATAAATGCAAGAAAAGAAAAAGCAGCTGATGAAATCCAATTTACATTCTTCACATACAAAAATATCTTAGCCAGCTGGGTGCCAGTGGCTCATGCCTGTTATCCTAGCTACTCAGGACACTGAGATCTGAGCATCATGGTTCAAAGCCAGCCCTGGCAGACTCTTATCTCCAATAAACCCAGTCAGAAAATCAGAAGTGGCACTGTGGCTCAAGTGGTAGAGGGCTAGCCTTGAGCTGAAGAGCTGAGGGACAGCGCCCAGGCCCAGAGTTCAAGCCCCATGATCGACAAAAAAAAAAACAAAACAAAACTTAGCCAACTGTAAATATCTTTTAACCATGAAAAGTATCTATCAAAACTCTTAACTCAATGCTAATTCAGTGGTAGAGCACATGCTTAGCATATGTACAACACCTTGGGTTCTTACCTCCAATTAACCACCCAAAAGCCAGTGATAGAGCACTAGTTCAGTGACCTTACCCAGGCCCTAAGTTCAAGCCCCAGGATCAGTATGCACACACACACAGTGTGTCCTAAAGACTTTCACTATTAATACTTGTATTGAATAATGTTTTGTTTTGTTTTTGGTCCGGTTGTGGGGCCTAAACTCTGGGCCTGGGCGCTGTCCCTCAGCTCTTCAGCTCAAGGCTAGCGCTCTACCACTTGAGCCACAGCGCCACTTCTGGCTTTTTTTTTTCTGCTTATGTGGTGCTGAGGAATGGAACCCAGGGCCTCATGCATGCAAGGCAAGCGCTCTACCACTGAGCCAACTTCCTAGCCCTGAATAATGTTATTGTAAGTCCTAACTATCATAGTAAGGAAAAAAATAAAATGAAGGAATAATAAAGAGAAGGAAATGAAGAAAAAGAAAAAGAAGCACTAGAAAGAACTTTCATTCACAATAATTTGACTATGTAACAAATCCAAAACCATCTCAGATAACTAATTTAGAAAGGTGGATGAATATATGGGGTGTGTGTGTGTATTTTTTTTTACAGGGGTGCAGGTCTTGGGGCTTCAACTCAGGGCCTGGGCATTGTCCCTGAGCTTTTTTACTCAGTGCCAGTTCTCTCCCATTTTGAGACACAACTCCACTTCTAGATTTTTGGTGGTTAAATAGAGATAAAGAATCTTAATGACTTTCCTGCCTAAGCTGGTTTCACACCATAATCTTCAGATCTCAGCTTTCTGAGCAGCTAGGATTACAGATATGAGCCATCTATGCCTGACTAGATCCTATATATTTTTTTAAAGCTTATGCTATGAAACAGAAAATGGAAAGAAAAAGAAAAAAATACCATTTACATCAAAAAAATAAGGTCTTTAATGATAAAATCTAAGGGAATACTCAGGAGACCTTTATGGGGAAAAATTTTGTAAAAGACATAAAATACCTAAACAATTAGACATACCATGATCAAGGACAGGAAAACTCAAAACCATAAAATAAAGGGAATAAATGCATAGCTAAGAAAGCTTGGATTCATGAACCAGACTAGTTCTACCTTTTTGTTTTTTTTGGTCAGTCATGGGGCTTGAACACTCTAGGCCTGAGCCCTGTCCCTGAGCTCTTCAGCTCAAGGCTAGCACTCTACCACTGGAGCCACTGGAACCACAGCGCTACTTCACTACTTCGGTGGTTAATTGGAGATAAGAATCTCACAGACTTTCCTGCCCCAGGCTGCCTTTGAACCATAACCCTCAAATCTCAGCCTCCTGAGTAGGATTACATGTGTAAGCCACAGGTGACTGGCAGTTCTATCTTTTAATTAGTAGTTTTTGAATATTTACAAACTTGACTCAAATTATCTCCATTCATGAATATTTCAACAACTAGTTCAATCTTTTATCAGCCACAAATCATAGATATTTTACTTAATCTGTAGTAAAAGTTAACATGGCACTTTAGAATTCTGATAATTGCAAGAGTTCTAGTTGAATGTCCTCTAGTCTTATTGTTTCAAAGTCAGTCAGTGTTCTGGAAGTAAAGAATACTGCCAACATTTTACAGAATATGTAAGGCTTTATTCTTGGTAATTATCAGTCAACACTGTCAAAACACCATGTCCTTGAAAGCTCCCTGAAAATGTGGACATCTGTTCTGAGATTGAACTTCCAAGAAGAAATCATACAAACTACATTCATAATAATCCCATTGACTCAAAGGGTGATGCTAGTGAAACTATATTTTTTATATGTGTAAGACCCTTTATGTGTGAGACCTATAAGTAGGTGTGAGACCTATAAGTAGTTTCCCAACTACTTTACAAAAGATCTGAATGTGATCAATGTGATCAAATCAGTGATTTTCTTTTTCTTTTTTTTTTTGTCAGTCGTGGGCCTGAACTCTGGGCCTGGGTGCTGTCCCTCATCTCCTCAGCTCAAGGTTAGTGCTCTACCACTTGAGCCACAGAGCCACTCCCGGCTTTTTCTGCTTATATAGTGCTGAGGAATTGAACCCAGGACTTCATGCATGCAAGGCAAGCACTCTACCACAGAGCCACCTTCCCAGCCCAAATCAGTGATTTTCTTTAGGTCTAATTTATATAAGTTTATTTTGGTTTCTGTAAGTTTTGTGATATTCTATATTGTTTCCTAAATGGTTCTACCTAAATTTCCTAGGAGAATTAAAAATAATCTTTGCTCTACTAGTTGTTAAGAGATGATAATACTTATTGATGACATTTATTAAATGCTTATTATATGCCAGGACCTGTTATAAGTGTTTTGTATGTATTACATATTTAAGTATCACAGGTGGAATATCATGCAGATAACTGAACTATAACCATTTTATACATAGGAAAACTAAGGTACAAAAAGTAACTTTCCCAATGTCACACAATACATGGAGAAGCTTAGAGATTCACACCCAAGTTGTCTGTCCCCAAAGCCCAAACCCTTAACTACTATATTATACTGCTTTTCACAATATTTTAAAAAAGTAATTATTATAAAGGAACAAAAAATTAACCATTAAAAATTATTCACAAGAGTTAAGTAATAGCTAAACATTAGTAATACCAATACAATTTATCATAGACTGATACTTCACAGCTATTTCAAAGTGTCATGGCCATGATTAATAGTTTTGAAGTTGGACAGACCTGGCTCTGAATGTTGGTTGTGCCCTTTACAAGCTGTGTGACTTTGAACAAGTTTCGTAACTTCACCAAGCCTCAGTTTCCTCATCTGTAAAATGAGAATAATAAATATCTCATAAAATTGTTGTTAGTAATATAATTATTGCTGTATTATACTGATATGGTAACTCCAAACAAAACAAAGGTATACAAAATGAAAGAAGACTCTTAAGTTTTTGTCCAGAAAACAACTTTATTATAATGAGATCACTTAATGTGTAAGATTCACACATTAATAAAGAACTACCACCTTCTCTAATATATAACAAATACTTCCCCTAGCCAAAAGTCAATTACTTAGAGGCAAATCACTGCAAGTTATCTCTCTCTAGCTCTCTCTATGATATCTATATATTGAGATGTCTACACTTCCAGAGGCAAGGACTGAACTCAGCCTTGTGACATACCAAATAAGCACTCTACTGCTGAACTATATGCCCAAACCTAATCACTGGGTTTTTGAAGTAACATATATACAAACACAGAAAAACAGACAAATGGATTAAGACACTACAATTTATTGAGAGCAACTCTCACAAATCCTGTTCAGCACATATCCTTTTTAAGATTAGCAGTATTCAAATAACCTAAAAAGGGAAGCGCTATGTCAAGTGGTCCTGGTAGGAAGCAATTTGTACTAAGAAAAAAGAAAAAAGTAGGACAGAAAATGGACCCAGGTTATATAATGGTAGCCCCTCTAAACATAACCTTTTCAACAACAATAAAAAATATTTACAAAAATAAAACAATAACTCAGGGTTACTGGAATGTAAAGGAAACTTATTCTAAATGACCAAAGGGTTCTAGTCTCACACCTGTAACCCTAGCTACTTAGTAAGCTGAGATCTGGGAATTGATGCTCAAAGCCAGCCCAAACAAAAATGTCCAAGAGATTCTATCTCCAATTATCCTGCAAAAAGGCTGTATTAGAGGTGTGGTTCAGTGAAATAGGATCAGACATGAGCTGTGAGAGTGCTCCACCCCCATACCAGCATTAAAAAATAAAAACAACAAAGACAAAAAAAGAGCAAAAATGATCTAATGTACCTGCACATTTAATTCCAATTTACATCCCTTTTCACATGAACTAAGCCCAAAACAAGAACAAACAAATGAAACAAAACCTACTCATTTTCTGGAAGCAAACAGTATTCTGCAAAGTGTTAAAAAGAAAAAAAGGGGCTGGGGAGAGGCTCAGTGGTAGAGTGCTTGCCTCTCATGCATGAGGCCCTTGGTCTGATTCCTCAGCACCACATAAGCAGAAAAAGCCAGAGAGGTGCTGTGGCTCAAGTGGCTCAAGTGGTAGAACACTAGCCTTGAGCTGAATTGCTGAGGGAAAGCGCCCAGGCTCAGACTTCAGGCCCCATGACCAACAAAAAAAGAAAAAAAAAAAAAACACTGGCTTACAATCTAGGGTTTTATATTTTGTTTTGTATATTTCTTCTTTTTCTTTTTTTGGTCGGCCGTGGGGCTTGAACTCTGGGCCTGGGAGCTGTCCCTCAGCTCTTCAGCTCAAGGCGAGAGTGCTCTACAACTTGAGCTACAACGCCACTTCCGGTTTTCTGGTGGTTTATTGGAGATAAGGAGTCTGACGGTCTCTCCTGCCCAGGCTGGCTTTGAACCGCGATCCTCAGATCTCAGCCTCCTGAGTAGCTAGGATTACAGGCATGAGCCACCAGCGCCTGGCTTTGTATACTTCTTCTTGTGTCAAAGAAAATGGCTGGTAAGGGTAAATATTATGGAATTACATTTAAAGAAGTAGGATTGGGGTTCAGTGATTCATGCCTGTAATCCTAGCTACTTAAGAGGCAGAGACCAAGAGAATGACAGTAATAACGAGCTAGCCTTGACCAAAACAAAAACAAAAAGTTAATGAGAACTCCATCTCAATAAATAAGCTGGGTGTGGTGGTATACATTTGTAATCCCAGCTTGGTGTGAGGCCCTGGGTGGAATGATTAAGGTCTGAGGTCTGTCTCTAGCAAAAACAAGAGAACCTATCTGGAGGGAGGTAATATAGTCTCCTGGGTACTCAAAATGAAGAAAATTAAAAAACTACAACAATAAACACCTGTATAATGGAACACTGTCAATACTTCAAGAAAGGAACAAATTGCCACATGCCTTAAAGAGAGCACTGGACACAACTATGTTGTGTATACATAGTGTTAGAGGAACAGCAAGGAGATAATAAGGCTACAAAATTCTCAGTGGTGAGAGGGTAAGAAGGTAGGATATAAGATTGAGAAGGGAGCCAAAATGTGTTATTGGTTGTTCATAGGCCATTGAACGTATTTAAGATAATAAATGGAAAATTGATGGAACATTCTAAAGAATAGGAATAGTCAGATCTAAAATTTAATAGGATCACTTTGTCTATCACATGTAAGGAAATCATAATGCAGGGTGTCAGTTAGGAAACAATTAAAGTAATCCAGATGAGAGGTGATAATAATGGCTTGGATAAGAATGAGCAATATAGATAGGTCAGAAATATGATCCACCTCTAACTCCAGTAGAGATCACATCTGTATAACAGAGAAAAAAAATCACTAAATGAGTAATTTTGCAATATCTACAGTAATTTTCCAAGCTCTATGCAAAGTGACAATATTCTGGATATACCTTAAGGGTGGAATTTGGTTAATGAATTCAAAGTGAAGGGTGATAAAAGTGAAGAGTGAGCTGGGAATGTGGCTTAGTGATAGAGTGCTTGCCTAGCATGCATGAAGCCCTGGGTTTAATTCCTTAGTACCACATAAACAGAAAAAGCAGCAAGTGATGCTGTGACTCAAGAGGTAGATTGCTAACTGTGAGCAAAAGAAGCTCAGGAACAAGTTGGGCATTGGTGGCTCACGCCTATAATCCTAGCTACTCAGATGGCTGAGATCTGAAAATTGCGGCTGGCTCCGTGAGACTCTTATCTCCAATAAACCACTAGAAAACCGGAAGTGGCGTTGTGGTTCCAGTGGTAGAGTGCTGGCCTTGCTTGAGGTAAAGAGCGCAGGGCCAATGCCCAAGCCCAGAGTTCAAGTCCCAAGACCGACAAAAAAAAAAAAAAAAAAAAAAGCAGCTCAGGGACAGTGCCCTGGCCCTGAATTCAAGCCCCAGGACTTGAAAAAAAAAAAAAAAAAAGTGAAGGGTGAAGGAAGATTTTAAGTGAACAATGAAGAAGATAGCCAGGTGCTGGTGGCTCAAGCCTGTAATCCTAGCTACTCAGGAGGCTGAGATCTGAGGTTCATGGTTCAAAGCCAGCCAGGACAGGAAAGTCTGTGAGACTCTTATCTCCAATTAACCACCAGAAAATGAAGTGGTGCTGTGGCTCAAGTTGTAAAGCACTCACCTTGAGCCAAAGAGCTCAGGAACAGGGCCCAGGCTGAGTTCAAGCCCCACAACTGACAAAAAAAAAGAAAAGAAAGAAAGAAAGAAAAAAGAGAGAAGGTAAACAAATTACGAGTTCAATTCAACCAGTTACATTTGAAGTTTATTTTTGAGATATATGACAATCTAAGTTTTTTAAATGTCTAGCACATAGACTAATACATATTACCTTCATCATGGAGCAGTTCTAATCCTCAAATCTATCTCTTCCCTCTGAGTCATCTATCAGATCAACCATGACAATCTTCTGGACACCTTCAGCCTGCCACCTCAACATCTCTAGTTCATAACGATAACAACCCCTCACTCTCCTGAAATTAATTCCTATACATCCTTTAGACCTCTCCTTAAATATTACTTGTTCAAAGTAGTTGTCCTTGACCAAATTCCTCCTCCAATTAAGTCAATTACTTCTATAATAAGCTCATAATAGCCTGTACTTCTCTCCTTAGTGCCTATCACACTTTTAGGTATGTATATATTTAATATCTCTCTTCTCCACAAGAATATAAACTGCAGGAGGGCAGAACCATTATATGTCATGTCAATGATTATTATATGCTTCAAATTGCTAATGTTACTTTGTTATAAGTTATCAATAGTATTGTTTAATAAAGTAAGACACATCCATTCTCAGTTATTATAAAGTAGCTTTTGGCAGGAAAAACAATAATAATGATTTTAAGCCAAATAAACAAAAAAAGCAATCCTTGTGTTCAGCAGCAGCCAAAACAGCAGACAAAAAGGAAATGCAGAGGTAAGCTTGACATTTTCCATTATGCTTTCCTCCTGGGACCACTAGCTGTAGACAAGAGCTTCTGGCAATCTCACAGGGCTGCACAGACAGAAATTGAGAGTTCATACCTATTAATACAGGTAGGATTTGATGGGTTAAAATTCCCAAAAACACAAAAAGTAATCACAGCAAAGTAAATCTCTAGACAATCTATACTGCTTTTGTCCTCAAGTTATTTAATTAATCCTAATCTGTATGGGGGCAAAAGGCAAAAAAATTAAGTAAACTGCCTATTTTGAAGCAAAAAAGTTAAGTAGAACTTTCTAGTTGTCTCATGGTACTAGGGGAAAAAAATTAAGAGATCAAGGTCTACAAAGAACGAACATTCCTGGCAAAACCCCCAGGATTCTGTTGGCTATCTCTAACAGACAACACTCTTTAAGAAAGTAGAAATTGGATTTCAACCAGCCCTTGAGAGGCCTAAAACAAAGCTTCAAGTCATCTTAAGCCTGTAAAGGATCAAGGTCATCTGCTTCTACTTTTAACTAGCAACAGAAGAAAATTAAACTCTCTCTAAAGAACAGTATCATTATTAAGAGCCTCTATCATTCCTTAAATACAAGGCCTAGCATTCATTTAAAAATATTACCAGGAAAGCTGGGAGGAAGGACCAAATTACTAAAAGCCAAGAGAAAAAACAGACAGTAGAAAAGGACCAAAAGAGGATCTAGACATGGTAATTATCAAGTACAGACTTTTAAAATAACAGTGATTAACATGCTCAATGAAACAGGTGACAAGAGGACAATTTTGCCAAAGAACTGGACTCTATTAAAACTAACAACAACAACAAAAAAGATTTAAGTTGGAATTATAGGACTAAAAATTACCTATTATATAATTACCAATATAACATGTCTTTAACAGTAGATT